TCAGAAAACATATTGACTTGACATACTTGATCGACCATAAAAGGTTGAGTTTGATTTAATTATTATTTGACTTGATGTGGTATCTGAGACTTTGTGGTTCATCGTTTTGTCAAGTGTGTATATCTAGCTAGGACCTGTGAATCATTAACCTTCCTCTTTCGATATATTTCAGGGAATATTCGAAGGAGCATAACTCGGATTTTCTTCCTCGTCTGATTTTTTTTCCCATAAAATGTTCACTACAAATTGTGTCGTCAGGTTTGGGATACCATGGTGACCCATCTACACTAAAATAATAAAGAAAATAATGAATATCACATAAAATATAGCGCAAATAAAATTGATCATAATTTATGGTTATTTCGCTTACTTATTTCTTTTTATGGCATCTATCCACTTATTTGTTTGATTTAATTTCCAGTCCAATGTAGGAAATATAAACACAGACTATTTGTGCCGTTATTTTTGCAGTTCACAACACAACAACATCTATTATTAGGCTTTTTAAAAAATTTATTTATTACGAACTCCGTGCAAATTGACTTTACTTTCCCGGATTGTTGCGTATTTCTGCCACGATAAGCGCTGCGATCGTTTCACAATACCCCCACCATGTACTTCGCACATAGCGAATAGCACACTTACAAATCTAATGGCAATAATTCTTTTCTATCTTACCAAACGTCTAAGTTTCATCGGTAGCTATCCAATATTTTTAACAACTCAAAATCCCAAATTAAATAAAAAAGCTGCTAGCTATCTTCAAAATTTTATTTCTTTCTTTTAAATAAAATTACTTAATAAGATATTTTTTTTAAATATGTAAAAAAATACAATTCTATTGTTTATATTACATTACTAAGAACACTTTTAACATAATAATAACAAAAAAGAGCATTGTACAACTATTGTCAGTAAAAAAATGCAGTGTTCAATACCCGCCTCAGTGATGGAACGCTAGTGTAAAACAAATCAATGCCAGTTTGCTCAGATATAACATTAAGACTATTACCCGCACGCAAGAGATATGAATTCTTTTTGATTCTTAGGTTTTCACGCACATCACTCATTAAATAAAACTAGTTTTAACGGGTTTATTTATTTATTGACGTTTCGTAGCCTTTTCAGGTCTGCATCGTAATAATAATTATTTTTTTATTTACTTTGTCGAGCTACCTTCGAAAGACTTTTATTGAGCGTTCGGATATTTCATTGGAAGATTTTTAAAACTTTATTGTCTACTAGTGACCCGCCCTCGCTTCGCTTCGGTGTAGAGCTGTAGTGTAGACTATAGTTTTTGTTCTCAGGCTTGTGCTATAAACAATGACTTTATTTATATAATTACACGTGTTATTGTGAGTCAACCATAAAAGATAGACATATGCTGTTGCGGGATATTTTTTAGACAATTTTATGTAGAATATTTCCGTTATACATGATTTCTATGTAACTTTAACCATTAAGCCTGCACACGCGACGGAAGCTTAAAAAATGGAGTAACTTCTCCCGTTTTTCCAACATTTCCCTTCACTACTCTGCTCCTATTGATTGTAGCGTGATGAAAAGTATACTATAACCTGCTCAGGAGTATGAAGAATAATTGTACCAAGTTTCGTTAAAATCCGTCGAGTAGTTTTTGTTTCTATAAGGAACATACACACAGACAGACAGACAAAAATTTGACTGATTGCATTTTTGGCATCAGTATCGACCACTAATCACCCCCTGATAGTTATTTTGAAAATATATTTCATGTACAGAATTGACCTCTCTACAGATTTATTATAAGTATAGATGTATGTATTTTGAAAGTTAATTTAGTTAATAAAGTACTTTATTTAAAATTCTTTTTTGTAATTTTGAGTTTATTTATTTGACCCTAACTACCGTAAACTACCACCGGTTCCAAAATTGGTAGACCTTTCTGAGAAGAACAGGTGAAACAAACTCAGAGAGGCTTTCTAATGAATATGCATTCTATCTGAAGTTTGAGGATGCCGGTGGTGGTTATGTTAAAATAGTACAAGTACAGCAGTTGTAGATCTTTAAATTATCTACAATTTTGTCATTTATATTTGTACTGACTTTCGTAAAGTCGCAGAAAAGAAGCTCACCAAAAAAAAATTGAAAATGGACTGAAGAAGAACATTAGAACCAAAGTATATTATTATATTTTACTTATTTTTAAAATGCATTCCAAAACTTCAGAAAGTCAAAGTTTCATAAAAAGTCACTTCTATTCGAACGGGATATGAATTTAACTTTTGTGATACCATACAATCCATTGATTTCCTATCATTTTTTAAATATACTTTTTCATACCAACGTATATTGGATTAATACCAGCTGCTGCATTTTGCCATCGTACATCGCGACAAAAATTTCATCCCCATCATCTTGGTGCGTGGCTATCCACAAACGTGCGTTTTTGTCGAATTTTTTTACCACGTACGACAAAACTGGGGAATATGTTGTCGCCAGCAGTGTTTCCGGACCAATACGACCCAAAAACCTTCAAAAAAAGAGCATACTCCTTCCTTAAAGGCCGGCAAGGTTGCAAGTGTCCATGGGCGACGGTGATCACTTACCATCAGGTGAGCCATCTGCTCGTATGCCCCCTATAACATAAAAAAAAATTATCCTTATTTCAAGCCCTATTGATGAGATGAATGTCCAAAATCTTTTCTCAGTACTCACTAACATCATCAAAGAAGCCTGTGTGCAGAGTTATATGCTTCTCCAATCAAAATGCAGGCGAATCCAACGGTTCCGCCTGCATTTTGATCTGAATAAGCCAGTCAGTTACGTCTTTTGTTCAAATTCAATAAAACAGAGGATTTAATTCTCAGAATATTTCGTAAGGGTGGCAAACAAACATGTGGCCCATCTGATGCTAAGCGCTTACAATAGAAAGAAAGAAAGAAAGAAAAAGCTTTTATTCACCTTACACAAGTATGTAAAAAAAAACAATAAACATAGCAAAAAAATAAAATACCAACATTGAGCAACAATATGGAGAGAGAAAAGGCAAATCAGGACCCTGCCTCACCTTAATGCTGTTTAGAAATGGAATATTCCCACCATAACAGCGCTGGTATTCTGGCAGGGCCTGTACGAGATTGCTAGAGACAACAGTATACATTATAAATTAGCATCTATTTATTTTTATATTTTGATTTCGTTGTATGCTTCTCCAATCAAAATGCAGGTGAATCCAACGGTTCCGCCTGCATTTTGATCTGACTAAGCCAGTCAGTTTCGTCTTTTGTTCAAATTCAATAAAAAAGAGGATTTAACTGTCAGAATATTTCGTAAGGGTGGCAAACAAACATGTGGCCCGTCTGATGCTAAGCGATTACAATAGAAAGAAAGAAAGAAAGCAAGAAAGAAAAAGCTTTTATTGACCTTACACAAGTATGTAAAAAAAACAACAAACATAGCAAAAAAATAAAATACCAACAGTGAGCAACAATATGGAGAGAGAAAAGGCAAATCAGGACCCTGCCTCATCTTAATGCTGTTATAGTAGAAATGGAATATTCCCACCATAACAGCGCTGGTATTCTGGCAGGGCCTGTACGAGATTGCTAGAGACAACAGTATACATTATAAATTAGCATCTATTTATTTTTATATTATAGGGGGCATACGAGCTGACAGCTCTCCTGATCCTGATGGTAACAGTACACTGTAGTCTATCACCTTACCGGCCTTCAAAGTTATTGGGGCGTATTGGTCGTTGGCTACCCTGACCCCATCCCCTATCTCGTCGAGCCTTAAAAATCTTATTCACCGTGAGGAACACAACACCAAAACGGCCTCATGCAGATTATCTTAAACGGCATAGCACGTATCATTTATAAATTGTAATATAATCACAGAAATACCTAAAAAATCTTGCCTTTGCTGTTATAGCAGCAACCGAGATTGAATTACAAAAAATCATGGTTATATTATTTATTTTTTAAGCATTTAACTGCTAGATGTTTAAATGTCAAGAAAGTTTTATGCGGACCAGGCAGCAGACGGGACTCGAACCCGCACCCTTCGCTATCGGGGCGAATGCACTGACCATTATGCCACCGCGGCCCTGATGGCGTGTCGAATTTTCTAACGCACATATTATTCATGGTTCTTTGAACTTATAAACTTTTTTCTACCGCCCAATTGCAATTGGTGGATATAAATTTAGTTTAATGTAGGTATTATACTAAATATCCACCATTAATTTGTTATTTAGTTTAGGATTTAGTCAATTGACTTATGTCTTATGTACTTCATTATTTTTACCTAGTTTTTGCCTACTATAAATGGGGTGCAATATCAAAGACAGAATCATGTGCCTTGAAATCATGTAGAAGTATTAGCCACTGTACTGACCTTGGTTATGCGCCGTCTTTACTAAATGTATATTTATTTAATTGTTACATGAAAATTCTGAAACATTACATTTCCAAACATTACTGAGACACAAGCAAGAGCTTTATTTAAACTTGACACTGAAACAAACACAAGCCAAAATAAAATTAAAAAAAGAAAGTCGAGCAATGCAATAAAACGAGTGATATAATTGCAGTAGCTTTGTAATACGTACTGAATGTAAACAAACATTTAATGACGCACTTAAAGAAAGAGACAGTGGTATAGCATTTTTTTGGTCACGTTGTTAATGTTTTTTGATGAAATGAAACTACTGGTATATTTTATTTTATTTTACTCTGTCAAAACAAATAGATTCAATTAACAATGGAGCTATCTCACGATTTGGTCTCCGGCGTCGGTATAGCTAAATACAATGATGATTAGTTTTTTCATAATGTTGATGGTGATAAGGTGATGATGATGACTGTTGGATGTCATCCTACGCTTCCTGGCCGCGCCGGAGGTCCATGCTAGGGTGTTCGGCGGCGAAAGTGAATGCCGAGGTGCCCCCCCTCCGCGCCGATGGGGTGGGCCTCTACATATATAAGTGTGAACCAGAGATAAAATAATAGAGTAGAAACAGTTCCGGCGTCACTGCTAGTGGAACGTACCCCGCCAACCATGCGAGGGTCCTGGAGCCAAGTGGTCAGTGTTCAAATTCAAATCGAAAATCGAACGTTTTTTTTTATAAATCGGGATATCGTTTTTTTTTTTTTTAATAAAGCTTTTCGTTCTCTTTTTGCACAGTTTCGATAAAGTTCGGTTTTGTTTTTTTTTTACGGTTTTTGTGGTGTTCCGGAATGGGTGAGATTTGGGTTATAAGCCTTGCCGGTCGTTGACGTCAGAACTACTTTAATATTATATTACCTACTTACTTACCAAGTAATTATGTTACAGATTATTATATAATTACTCTGTAATTCTCAAAACCAGATAGAAAGTTAAATAATGGCCTATAACTAATTTATTATTCTAAGTTAGTAACAGTAAGTAGTTGGATTATTGCCAAGGAGATTAATATTTATTTTCCTATTATTGGATGCGCTCTAATAATAATTAAACTTAATTTTATTACAGCATAAATAATTTATGGAATATTTATACTTAAGATCAATAAATGCGATGCGTTTTTGATAAATAAATATTAATAAATAGATAGATTTGCATAGGAAATGTAAGTAAATCTGAATATGAAAACAAATTCAGAAAACATTTCGAACAAAATGCGAGTAAAAATAAAACCGGTAAAAGTATACTCTGACTGAAGCACAAACCGTGTAACTCTGAAAGATAGAAATAAAGTTTGGATAAACAAGAAAATGATACAAAAACGGTGATTTATGTATTCGTCACTAGCATAACTAATTTGTTGTTTTTAAATTTCAGTTACCTAATATAATTAATTATTTTCAAGTAACTGTTTTGAATTAAATTACTAGATTAAACATTAAAATCGTTAGTCAATTAGGTAATTAATCAAGTTGCTACTGAAAATGATTGAAATCCAGTCGATTAAAGAAAAATGTTAAATAGTGCATCAAAAATTCACATTCTCTCCGGAACGGAGAAGAACTCGGAAAATGTTTAACAACAATGGAACGCTGCCTTTTTGTGAATGTCAATGCGATCTTTCCACTCTTTCCCATTTTCTCATTATTGTGTTAAGATTTAATTGCATTAATGACATACGCATTCATTAGTTAGTCGTGGTTACCTACGTTTTCGCCAATTAAAGTATTTGTATCTATGTTAAACTACTTATTTCAAGTAGTTACACGTAATATGTAGATTGATAAATCAGATAACGCAGACAGGTTTTGCGATAACGAAAAAATAAAAAGTTCGTTCTTCTTTAAGACCGACCAATAATGATTATCTTAGATCAGCTAAAAAGAGTTGTTGTTAAAAGAAAACTATTTTTTTTTTCAAATTATCAGACTTTGTAGACGCTTTGTTTTAAATCAATCGTCGATTGTTTACAATGTATAAAAAAATTAAGATAATGATAAAGTATCAATAAAGTCAATTGGAGCCCAATGGCGCATGTTGTTAGTGCTTTCGGCCTGCGATCGTAGAAGTTAAGCAACTTTCGCAATGGTCTGTCATAGGATGGGTGACCAAAAACTTTTTATTTCGAGCTCCTCCGTGCTTTAGAAGGCACGTTAAGCCATTGTTCTCGGCCGTATCTGCATGGTGGGTCACGGCCCAATCTCTCTTTGCCATCCATAGGGAAATCCTGTGCCCCGATAATAATGACGCACCTATTTGATCAAGATTCTATGTACCTACTTGATCATATAGGTTCGTAATTGACATCACAATTAACTTAAGTAGGTAAGCATTTGCTATAATTAACAAAACTGCATTTTTTCTTTTTTTTTTACTAAGTGTAGGCGTAATTGACATAAACATATAAATTAAAGTAATAAAAAACTCATATACTCTAAAAAATATCTAGTCACATTTGTGGATAATATATTTCATACCAAAAATTAACTTGATTATAATTAGTTGCTCACTAATCAAAACCTGATTATGAATGAATTTTTATTACATATATTTTTATGATGTAATAATGTCGCTTCATTTTATCGTAGTAAGAATCTGATATCTATATCTATTCAAATCATGTGAATCATTAAAAAAAACACGAAAATTAAAAACACGAATGTAATTAAGTAATCTGTGCGTTTTACTCGTAAGTGATTATAATTTCTCGATCTATGCAGGGGCATTTTATTACCTATAAAACCGGAACTAGATATTACGACGTCAATTCATTTGCGGTTAATTCCTTAACCGTCAGTTTTAATTTAGCTTAAGCGCTTATACGGATGGCCACTACATTAGTGGGTGTCGATCGCAATCCGCATTGTCGCGCTTCTTGCGTAACGCTTGCATAATATCGGACATGCTCCTGCGCCGCATTAGGCCGATATGTGTGAACTACGCTAACGAACCCAATGCACTTTCACCCCTATATTGTCAACACCATCTTAACACGAATTACCAACAACCGTCAAAGCATCCTTTTGACACAAAAAATAAGCAATAAAGAAAGAGACCGAACGCGCTCCCTTGTCGCACTCCATCCGTATACGGAACGTTTCCGTTTACGTTTATCCTAATTGCAATTACGTAAACAATGTCAGCCGGTGACTATAACGTACGATACGACAGGTTATTTATATTCTACGAAATTGGGTAGGTACCCAAGTTATGTATTCACGATGTGTGGTGTTGTTTTATGAAACTGTTTTGTTTATGGTAATGAGGTAATCTCGATTGTTGCAGCACTTTCTCGTTTTGTGTTTTCCGACAGACGTAAGTAGTGGAACTGGATTCCTTGCGCTAAGAGCCACTTCCTAGAACCAGATGCCTAGGTCATCCGGTCCCCACTTACACGCCTTACACTGTTCGCGTACACTTTCCTTTTGTGATCATCCTAAGCGGTGTTACGCAATGATCTGATATGACCAGTCAAGTTAAATAACACAAGACAAGTGTTTATGTTGTTCCTTAAGATAAATACTGATTAAGATACCAATCAAGCCGACTACAAGTGATTCTCCTGTGTCATTAGTATAAAACAAGTGATTGTGTTTTGAGTAAAAGAAGATAATTACTCGTCTTTAGCGATTTAAGCTCAGCGATTAACAACCTGTTATTGATTGCTTTGCGACTTTCACATAGTAATTAGAGCTGTGCAAACAAATTGGTCGAATAATAAAAAGCATTATAGCACTGGTTTTCTTTTGTTTCAGGTTACCCTAGCGGTAATTTTACAAATCGCTCTAGTATCAAGCAAGGCGTTGTTACCACAAAACAATGTACAAGCAGAGCAGCAGTTGAAACAGAATGATCAAAGTCCCACCACAGCGCAGAGACGTGATGGATACGATTACCCAGCTCCACCCAGTGATCTAGTTAATCCTTTCCAAGACCACGACGATTATCATGGACATGGCGACCACCACGAGGTTTCCGATCATCACGAGCACCATGATGTCCACATAGATGACCATCATCATGTTGAGGAGGAACACCATGATCACCATGAACATCACGATCATCACGATCACCACGATCCCGGCTACTGGAAAAAGAAACTGATCTGGAAACCGGGATGGAAGAAAATTTGGAAACCAGCCAAGAAACAAATTTGGAAGCCCTCGTGGAAAAAGATTTGGAAACCCATCTGGGTACCCACTAAAATTCCAGTTTGGAAAGAAATCAAAGTGCCTGACTGGAAAAAGATCCACAAACCCGAATGGAAGCCCATTAAAGTTCCAGCTTGGAAGGAAGTAAAAGTCCCAGATTGGAAAAAGATTACAGTTCCCGTGTACAAAGATATTGTTGTCCCGGGATGGAAAGACATACAACTTCCGGCTTGGAAAAAAATTTGGGTCCCAGAATGGGTAAAAGAAGGAGTACCGGGCGAGAAATATTTAGGTAAAGATCACGAGGGTTGGGAATATACATCTCATGACTTATGGCGAAAGAAGTTGGTCTGGAAACCCGTATGGAAGAAATATTGGAAGCCTGGGAAAAAGCAAATATGGATACCAGATAAAAAACTTGTTTGGAAAGACGAATGGAAGCAAATTTGGAAAACAGAAAAGAAACAGATTTGGATCGATGACAAGAAATTAGTTTGGAAAGAAGCCTGGCAACAGATTTGGAAACCATCCAAGAAATTAATATGGGTACCTGATAAAAAGTTGGAGTGGAAAGAAGCTTGGAAACAAATTTGGATTCCTGACTGGAAACAAATTTGGGTGCCGGGTGTAAAAAAGATTTGGAGACCAGTATGGATATCAGAATGGTTCCCATCCCCTGATCATCACGAGCATGTACACGAGTCCCACGGATGGGACCGAAGTGACAACAGTGTGTCAGCGAGTCAAAAATCCGAGACCATAAAGCCAGCTCCTCAACAAGCAGCTCCTAAGCAATCTGAACAAAGCACATGGCAGTTTCCAAAATAGTAATACCTATTGTAAATAATTTCATAATTAATTATTTCTTTACCAATTATGGGTCCGACGAAGTCAATCACAAGTACATTGCAAGTCGTTCGGAGATAATATCAGAGATATGCCATATAAATCAAGACTGTGAAGTTGCTGCGAGACGTTTATCATTGGATTTAAGGGACGGTCGCATGAAGGCAGATAATGTAGGTAACCTAATTTTCCTACTAAATAGAATATGCAAAGCGAACAGAGTGCTCCGCCTACGCGATTGCTTCTTGATGATATGATTGCTGTGAACAAACTCAGACAGTTAATGTGTTCTGTGTAAATTGACAAAGATTTATTGGTGTTTCTTTGTAATGAAAAGCTTTAAAGTCAGTGTTTAATATGCTATTAGTCTACTGATATGAGTCTGAATATCACGTGTCCTTAATTATGTGAATGTGGTTAGGGTATCAGTCTGAGTCCACTGATGCTTTGTTTTGTTATTGTTTATGATTATTTAGTGTTATTTTTAAGTTTTACAATTAGTCATTAATTGCGGTACCAATGAAATGAAATAAAGTATGTTTGTTGTGTTATGTATTTTTTGTTTCAATTTCAAAGGGTGGAGATCTTGTACGGGTATACCTAGTTAAGAGTTCAAAGCAGAAAGGTGTGAATGGGCATTTATACACGTAACACACAGTGTTAATTGTGGCGAGAAAATAGTAGTTAGTTAGTTCTACAGGGCGGTTTCCGCACTTAGTCCTAATTATTGGACCATTGTATAAAAATAGTAAAATAATATGATGAAATAGGAGTGACTGAAACCAGGGCATTTATGATTTCAGTTTTATATCAGCGCTTTCCGTTCCAAATACTTTTCTTTCTAATTGTCTATTAGTTTGCATGATGTTTACACTATCTAGAAACCAGTACATAATTCAAGTTACCTAAGGCTCTAAAATCGCGCATCTGTTTGGAACATCAAAAACAATTTTCATTTATGAATACTTAAATTTCCTATTTATTGACATTTCATCTATGTGAGTAAAGAAAGAAAGAAAGAAATTTTATTTGGAACAACATGTGTAAGAAAAATGTTCAGTGATATACGTACATAAAATATCGTGCCAATATCAATTATTATTTATATTCTTAATTATTATTCTAAGATTCAAATTACAAATATCAAAATGTCAATACAATAAAAAATGTCAATAAAATTGGGCAAATACTTTCAATGATATTATTATGTAAGTAGTCATTTCACGCATTCTCATTTATGCTTACTTGATGTTTCACAAAATGTCATGTCACTCTAGTATTAAAAAAAATATACGTTTTAAATAGGCAGATAGTTACATAAAATTATGGACAATGTTAAATATGTAATATTCCTATTTTAGAGCACCAGATCTTATACCCATTCTTCATAGTATTCAAAAGTCAATACAGGTCATTCTTAAAAAGCGATACGAATATGTGCAAAGATAGATGATTTAGGTCAAAGTCCGTACAATGTTTATCAACACGCAGTAGAATAGATTTTTCGTTATCGAGTATGGTAAGTTTGTCCTACGGTGAAAGTAAGTACACATTAATTCAGACTACTTTTACCACGAAAACGATTACCGTAATAAAATTATAGCCGAATTGCTTTAATTTTACTTTATGTTGTAGTACATCAATAATTTCTCTTATTTAAATATATGTACATACTTGTATATGGATGGATACAGAAATTCGTAAGAATTACGTCGAGTTGTAACTATTTTTTTTGTCGCCTTCACATGAATAGCATAATTCAAGTAACTAAGGAAGAGGAAAGTCACCTGGCACTGGCATTTTTTACTTAAAAGGTGATTTCAATCACGTTTCAAAATAATGTAACTAAAACATGGTATTGAAATTTATTATTATTATATCTTGGACAAATTATATGAGATTAAAAAAAATAGCTTGCCTAAATGCTTATAAGCCTTAAATATTTTCCGCATTGTGGTCGCAAATCAAATAACGACGATAAATATGACAGCAAATGCTATTTTAGAGAGCAGAGCATGAAAGCTCTTAACAGGGCCGTCTTTAACTTAGAGGCCCTGGGCATATTAGGATAATGGGGCCTCTAAGACTTTGATGTGAATTATGACTTGAAATGGAGCATGCTGTACGTGTACAACTGGTAATATTTCTTTGAAATGTGTATATGCTTAGTATACCATTATTTGTATATTTACATTTATTTAAGCATGCTGAAGTCGGAAAGCCTTATTTTTGGGCGACGGTAGAATATCGCTTATGTAAAAGCTAGTAAGTTGGTATTGTAGTGAGCAATTTAGGTTCGATTTCATCGAATTATGTAAGTTTTTTGGTAATAAATATTGGTTATCGTTTGGTGATGTGACAGGAACTAGGGACTTTGTATTTGATCTGAGGGAGGCCCCTATTGATCGCGGGGCCCTGGGCACTTGCCCAAAGTGCCCACTGGGAAAGAGGGACCTGGCTCTTAATCAAGGGTGCATTTTAAAATTTAGCGCCGCAGCTAACGTAAGATGTTGAGTGAAATTTGTATCTTTAGACAATTTAATTATACGTATACGATTATCAAGCACTTAAGGTTTTTTCGAAAATTTTAATAGAAAGATAGACAGATGAACACTTATTTCATAGAATATGATATATCGATACAATACATAATATGATGACAATGTTGTTTTTTTATTCACGTATTCTACCATGATAAGTGGCATAGAAATATTAAAAGATAAACAAACTCAAATAATCTATGTATTACTCATTTCATAAGTAATGTCAAAGTACCATGTCAAATTAGATAAAATCATTATAATAATAAAATGTATCACAATGAAACACAATATTTGAAAAATAATTCGCTAATGTCATTTAAGTTTTAAGTTCTCATCTACTGTATAAAAGTATTTTTCTAAAAGCCAAGTTAACAATTTTCATTTAAATAAAACTAGTTTTAACGGGATTAATGCACGAACTTTATTTATTTATTGACGTTTCGCAGCCTTTTCAGGTCTGCATCGTCAGAATAATGATTTTTTATTTACTCTGTTGAGCTACCTTCGAAAGACTCTTATTGAGCGTTCGGATATTTCATTGGAAGATTTTTAAAACTTTATTGTCTATGTATGAATTTATTAGTTAATTTCAATAGGGAAGATGATTGGTGTGTACCACCGGCTTGGGAACCATACAAGAGATAAAATCCCTACCCCGAGCACACACTGCAAGACCAAGAGATACTATAAGTTCTTTTTGTTTGCATAATTTAAAATAAGAAGGAGATAGAAAGCCTCTCTGAGTTTGTTTTGCCGGTTCTTCTCAGAAAGGTCAAATTTTGGAACAATTTTGGAACCGGTGGTAGTTTACGGTAGTAAGGGTCAAACAAATAAACTCAAAATTACAAAAAAGAATTTTAAATAAAGTACTTTATTAACAAAATTAACTGCGAAACGTCAATACAATAAATAAATAAAGTTCGTGCATTAATCCCGTTAAAACTAGTTTTATTTAATGAGTGATGTGCGTGAAAACCTAAGAAACAAATAATTTTCTTTTAAACTTTTTTAAGGTAAATCTTTAATAAAGTTAGGCAGTTTTATATTATTATTGCTTGAACATTATGCAATTCTATTGAACATTTAAGGTTTACATTTTGGTTAAATTAGTCTGTACTTGTGTCTTGTTTATATAAAAAAAACATTCGGTATTAGTTTTAACGCTAGATCCCGTACTTGTTGAGAAAAAATCATCTTGCATGAGTATATAATATAGTGTTATGTTTTACGCATTCCATGATCAACTTATAAATAAGATACCACTGTTAGACACCTAATTCAGAAATTTCATATTGTGGGTTACCTACAATGCAAAGAGAAGGCGCTGCCTTGCAGCTTAAGGCTAGGAAAATTTCGACGCGGCCATCAGGGCCGCGCAGGTTAGAGTCCCGTCCGCTACCTGGTCCGCGTGGATTTTTTTCTAGTATATCTTTTCTTTAGATTTAAACACCTAGCAGTTCAATGCTTAAAAAAAACATAAATTTCATCTTTGTTCATTTATCTCATAAAATGTCTTGTAATTTTAGGATTTAAAAAATAAAACGTAGCAAGTATGAACATATTTATGAGACTCACAGGTCTGGGCCATGACCATATCACACTGAACAGCAAATATAAAATAAAAAAATAAAATAAAAAGGCATGTGACATGCTAGGTTATATTTCTTTTTTGTCTATAATAAGTCAAATTAATCATTACAAATTTACCACTTTATTTATTTAGTTATTACAAGAACTTAATGTGTAATGAGAGAAGACATGGCTTCTAGCAGTGGCTCATTGGTTCACTGACATAGCAAGCCTTGAGGTAGCCCTCTGTCATTAAAACATTATTATCCAGTTTCGGGTTTATAAACTATATATCTAACTTCATGGGTATAAATAAATAAATACTACATTACGAATTTACCACTACGTTTATTTGGTTGTTACAAGAATTAGAAGTATAATGAAAGATGGTTTCTGAGATAAATTTTACTAGGTCGACTAGGCACGCAGAGTAGTCAATATTGTTCTTAAAAACTTTTATTTAACCATACAAAGAACTTTCATTATTATCAAAAGCGCCACTTTTTTATTGTTTTTTATGATTGGTATTCATGAAAATATAAGAAATATATAATGTGGTTCTATTTAAGTTAAGCCTCGGGACTTAACAACTATATCATTACAGAACCAAGCTACATTTATTTAATTGTTACAAGTACTTAATAGTCGTGTAATAAGATATTGGCTTTCGCAATGTCGAATAATCTGCAGTATTTCATTGCCACTACATATTTTTTTATTGTTACAAGTATAAAATATAATATTAGGGATGGCTTCTAGCAATAGCTCATCAGTTCGCTGACGTAGCAAGCCTTGTGGCAGCACTCGTCGACCAGGCCGGGACTCCTCTTGGGGCGTAGAGAAGTCAGAGCGTTTGTTGTGTGTTTAGCGGATACCTGACGGGCGGGCCACGGAGAAAGAGCATTGTTAAAGATGGACCAAGCTGTGAGATAAAAAAAATATTTATATTTAAATCAAATAAAATTGACAGTTTCTTATTTTCTTTAACGAATAAAACAATAGGGTATTGTTTATCATTATATTAATGGTCACGTAAAGGAGAAACTTAGTACATTATTCCGGGCACCATTTGAGCATGGAGTGTTATTGAAGTTCAAAGTTTATAAACTAAAGGAATTCGCAAAGTTATTAATTTTGATTAAAAATGCATTACAACAAATTAATAAATACCCATTGGGAACTTTATAAAGATCTTGTTTCTGTCTAGGCGACTACAAGCACAAATAAATATTATATCTGAAGTCGTAGCTTGTTATAACCGTAGCTCGTTATAGTTAGCATTGAAAGTAGGTGAATATAATGAAAAAAATAATACCATCCATATATCTTAATACCTATACCAGTTTGTGTCTCTTTTAAGATCCTTTTTTTCTTATATAATTGGGAAATAAACGGATATCTAGAATAGCTTCGTTTAGTGCCAAGCTTCGAGTTAAGCAAGAGACTTTGCAAGGCATCTGCCTAGGTGCATTCGGCCTCAGCCTATGTACAAAAATAAATGAACTAAGCTAAAAGCCGTTTTATATCCGATCTCTCCCAGCATCTGGATGACTCGAAGTAGTTCAGGGAATAGAGCGTATTTCTTGGTCGGGTTAGGGTCCGATCCGTAGCAGTACAACACGCGCGTGTCGGAATAGAGCGTGTCTCTTTTATCGGGTTAGGGTCCGATCCGTATTATATTATAGTGCGCGTGAGCTTACCTCGTAAATAAATAGTTGGTTAAGTAAAAGCCGTACGTTTATATGTGATCTCTCCCAGCATCTGGACATCTAGAAGTAGTTCAGGGAATAGAGCGTATCTCTTGGTCGGGTTAAGGTCCGATAAGTTGCAATACAACACGAGCGTGTCGGCCAGCTGGCGGCCGCAGAATATGCGCGAGATCTTACCTCGTGGATAAATAGTTAGTTAAGTAAAAGCCGTACTTTTATATCTGATCTCTCCCAGCATCTGGACGTCTCGAAGTAGTACAGGGAATACAGCGTGTCCCTTGGTCGGGTTAGGCTTAGATGCGTAGCAGTACAACACGCGCGTGTCGGTCAGCTTGTGGCCGCAGAATATGCGCATGATCTTACCTCGTAGATAAATAGTTAGTTGAGTATTAGCCGTACGTTTATATCCGATTTCTCCCAGCATCTAGACGTCTCGAAGTAGTTCGGGGAATAGAGCGTGTCTCTTGGTTGGGTTAGGGTCCGGGTCCGACACGAGCGTGTCGGCTAGCTTGCAGCCGCAGAATATGCGTGAGATCTTACCTCGTAGATAAATAGTTAGTTAAGTAAAAGCCGTACGTTTATATCCGATCTCTCCCAGCATCTAGACGTCTCGAAGTAGTTCAGGGAATAGAGCGTGTCCCTTGGTCGGGTTAGGCTTAGATGCGTAGCAGTACAACACGCGCGTGTGAGCCAGCTTGTGGCCGCAGAATATACGCATGATCTTACCTTGTAGATAAATAGTTAGTTGAGTAGAAGCCGTACGTTTATATACGATTGCTCCCAGCATCCAGACGTCGCAAAGTAGTTCAGGGAAACGAGCGTGTCTCTTGGTCGGGTTAGGCTTAAATCCGTAGCAGTACAACTCGCACGTGTCAGTCAACTTGTGGCCGCAGAATATGCGCATGATCTTACCTCGTAGATAAATAGTTAGATAAGTAAAAGCCGTACGTTTATATCCGATCTCTCCCAGCATCTGGACATCTCGAAGTAGTTCAGGGAATAGAGCGTGTCTCTTGGTCGGGTTAGGGTCCGATCCGTAGCAGTACAATACGCGTGCGTCGGCCAACTTGCGGCCGCAGAATATCCGTGGCACCTCCACGCTGGCTGCGCTAGCTCCGGACACCACCGCCGCCATCAGTACGAAGTTCAACCAAGCGAACAGCATCTGATAGATAAATAAATCATCCATCTGTTTCACTACACATGTTAATGTGATAAAAAGTTAATACGAGTATATGCTGGTGCACACGCTTTTTCTATGGATGGTAAAGAAAGAACTTGCCATGATCTAGTGAATGCTTACATGTAGATGTCTAGTTAAAGTGGTTTCCCAAGTACGCAGGAGCTCGAAATAGTATATTTTTGTTCCCCCATCCTACGGCCGGCTATTGTGAATATTGCTTTACTTTGACGAGCGCAGACCGAACGCTACACCATCTTCGTAGCGTAGATCGTCAAACAAATCTGTTCTTATTTTTATTAGTATTATTATAATTCTTTTACGGAAAAAAAAGAGCGAGCCTTACAGTAGCCGCGTATGATGTGTAACATTTGAAACCTCACCGTATATTAGTAAAAAAAGAAATAAAACACTACAAAAGGAATAAGTCATTAGAACATTATGTTCTTAAATCAAATCAAATAGCGCGCGCTTTCGCGACTTCCTGTCAGTCCCATTTCACGAAATCACTCCCAGAAATTGTAGGAAAGCGAGAGGAGAGATGTTACACATCAATAAAGGAACGTTAGGAACACTATGGAAGAGAGACAGCGCAGCTCTTAGTTTGGAGTGATCGCTTATGGAAGTTCTCTCCACCGCCTCCTTTTAACAGCCACTCTTTTACAGGAGATCGGCTCGGGACATTTTTCCTATCTTATTGGTGCGTTTAAAGACAAAGGGAAGATTTTCGCATCGAGCGACGGTCCGGTGTTCAGTTAAACAATGGCCGTTAAAAGTAAGCCTAAGGGAGACGATTCGAATAACACTGTGGTGGTATTCCTCTAGGGTTTACGTTTAAGTACCCAAGTTTACATCCGACGGTCTGACAGGAATGAAAACTCTCTATAGTACAGGAGTACAAGCGGCAGAATAATATAAAAGGGGGAACCTTGCAACCATACCTCAGCCCTCCAGGGTCGAATTCAAAAGATTGATGATTTGGACGCGACCAAAGGAATTGCCAATTAGACTTTTTTTTTCAGCCCTAGACGTTCAACCCTACGTAAAGGGCTCACGTATAGTGGGAGTAGCTACTTCAGAAGGTGCAATATCCCCGCTAGGGCTCCCCGACTACTAGAATGCATTGAAATAGGCTGAGTACAAGCCAATAATTAAATATTTCCAACACTCACACCAATAAGCCTAGCCCCAAAGTAAGCACTGTAGGCTTGTGTTATTGGTGTGAGTGTAGTAGTAACGGATAGAATACACATACTGATACATATATAAGTATATTTAAATACAAATACAACGTGGCGCTGCTCTATGAAATGGCATGAAGCAAGCGCGCCGAGCGGGTGCCCGCTCTGTGTCCCGCTTAACGCAGCGCACGCTCTTAATTTTTTTTTCTGTGAATGTAATAATTACATTATATTATATAATAGTTTAAAAGTGTATATAATAATTACCTTAGGACTCATTTGAGTATGATTATTGCGTGTGTGTGTGTGTGTATGTGTGCATGAGTTTGCGTGAATTACCAAACTTAAACTTTGTTTTTCACCTCCCTATTTTCCTGTATACCTACTTTTATCTTTACTATCCTTCTATGCTTCCTCTTTCAGACTTCTGTCCGTGCCCCTGGCTGTATCAAATAGCAGCCTCGAGCACGGACAGTATATTATTAAACACGAAATTTGATTAGAAATAACATAATTAAAAAGACATATTGTAAATAATCGAATAAAAATATTATGAAAAAAAAAACATATTAAACATCCATGACTAGAATACAAATGATCGTATTCATCACACAAACATCTGCCCCCACCGGGATTTGAACGCAGGACCTCTCGAGTAGGCGACACCTTGGAACCCAGCGTAAAACCACTCGGCCACGGAGATCGTCAATACATCCAAATAAAATAATGCCAATTGTTCTTCACTACATAGTATAAAGCAAAGTCGCTTCCCGCTGTCTGTCCCTATGTATGCTTAGATCTTTAAAACTCCGCAACGGATTTTGATGCGGCTTTTTTAAAGGATAGAGTGATTCAAGAGGAATGTTTATATGTATAATACATGCATAGTATACTAAAAAAACGCTGATAATTTTAAAGGTTTTTGAGGTCGTAAATATTAACAATTTTTTTGAGCTTACATTGCAAACGCTGGCTGAACCCTACGAGATAGATCAAAATAATGTACTACGGTATTGTACACCTTAAATAGGTCTACAAAAAATTGAGCAATGGTTTATGTGTATCTCTTAGGGATAACCCACAATAACCATTTTATATCTTATACTTTTTACGAGAAAGTATTTCATCCTTATCCAATTAAGTACCTGAAATACATTGTGCATTTAATAAAGACCAATTTGGCCCTTTAACGCATGTAATTTAAATTAATATTTTCGAAGATATTACAGATTTAAAATGCAGGGACATAGCGGTTCCGACGCTACAAAGCGGGGGGCTTGGCGGCGTGAGCATATTGTAATTAGGTATAAGAAGAATTTCATTGTGTATAATACAAGTCTGAGAACAAACACTACAGCTCTACACCGTAGCGAAGCGAGGGCGGGCCACTAGTTTAAGTATAATCACAAAATTATTACTTATGTATACCCAGGGTACAATATACTTTATCCTACTATGCGCTATTAAAATCATGGCAATGAAATTAACTGCACCAAATAACATCAAGACTAACGCTTGATACTGAAATTGGAAAGCTGAGCAAATTATAAGTGAATATAACGATCTGAAAGCTTACCTTTCCGTTCGGTAACTTTTACACAAATAAAGTGCTTGTTCAGGATTTAGTCGTCTTAAATACTCTCGTCTAAGGGTTGTTGAACGTCACAAGCTCATCAATATTCAGAATATGGAATTACACCTGCATTGCTTTATCTAAAAATAGTCCGCCTATGCACATCACAATTTTGAATAACATATTAAAACGACGTGCATATTTAGTAAATTATTTGTCAGGTATAAACAACTGAAGTAAGTAAAATTACAATTAAAAATAAGTTTTCTTAAATGAATCATCATCAACCTATTAATGTCCCTACTGCTGGGACACAGGGGGCCAATCGCCTAACTGGATTGCTTTGGAAAACGCTATCGCTTACGATTTCATTTTGTTATTTCTAGCCCCCTGAGGTTTTCAAATGCCTCGCGCTCTTTTTTTTTCTTTTGCATTGGTAATAACAATGTTAAAGAAAATGAGCGTGAGGTATTTCGGCGGTTAGAAATAACAAAATGAAATCGTAAGCGATAGCGTTTTCCAAAGCAATCCATTTAGGCGATTGGCCCCCTGGTCTTCCCTATGGATAGAATAGGGAGATTAGGCCTTAAGTCACCTCGCGGGCCCGGTGCGTGATAGGTGTTAGTGACTGCAGATGCAGCTGGGACCAATGGCTTTACGTGCCTTCCGAAGCACGGAGGAGCTTAAGACAATAAGTTTTTGGTCACCCATCTAATGACTGACCATTACGCAAATGGCTTAACCTCCACGATCGCAGGCCGAACGCGCTAACCACCTGCACCATCGAGCTCCTGAAAAGAATTAACCTCAGTTGTAATTCTGAAAAATAAACAAAAGAGTAACAGTAAATATTTTTTGTAAACCTTAAGTAAGCTCTTTTACTAATTTTCAGAATAATATCTTCACAATTGACGAAGTTTCATAGAAATTTTGATAAAGTATATCCAGTTAAATTTTGGAAATTCGTTTCTTAGTGGATGCCTTCTTCATAGCAGGTAACTATCTGGATGCAAAAAGTTAGCGCAATCAGTTCAGTGGTTTGAACTGTGTGTTAATTGACAGATTAGTCAGTCATTAACACGGTTGACTTTGAAATATATAGTAGGATGACTTGATAAATCGATATTTCGCGAAAATCCTAGGTTTTTTTTAATCACACCAATTAGGCTAGCCCCAAAGTAAGCACTGTAGGCTTGTCCTAAGGGATAGTAGGGTAAAGGACAGAATACATATACTGTACATATATAAGTATATTTATATAGAAATACATATTAAGCATCCATGACTGGAGTATAAATGCTCGTATTCACCACACAAACATCTGCCCCCACCGGGATTCGAACCCGGGACACCATGAAACCCAGCGTATAAACCACTCGGCCACGGAGGTCGTCAAGGTATATTGCGAAAACGAGAATAATTAGACAATGGCGATGGTATTGCTCATTTTTTTCTTTTTACGATTGTTTTTTCAGATTCTGGTGTCCTATACATAATTTAGTGTGAATTCAAAAACCCAAGAATATTTATAATAAGCAAACGATTCTTTTCGCAATCTTACTGAGGCGACTTGCGTTTCACGTTTCACTCGCAAAAAGCTTTTCCAGTAAGTTTAGATATCCAAAATAAAAACAAAACTAGGATATTCGCGAAAATTCTATTGGTCAAATCATCCTACGACATAATATACATTATACAGACTAGACCCGCCCTCGCATCGTCTCAGGAAACTACGCTAATATGGATTTAAAGGTAGCAATCTGGATCTCACTGTGTCATATTTGAGCGATAGGATCCAGAGAGTTGACATTAATGGCAAAAGATCTCCTGGATCGTTAGTAAAGATGAGTGTTCCTCAGGGCTCGATTCTTGGTCCTTTCTTGTTTTTAATTTTTATAAATGACTTACCTTACTTTGTAAGGGATAATCACGAGATAGTATTGTTTGCAGATGATACTTCACTTTTAATTAAAATTAAACGAAAGCAACCAGTTATTGACGACGTGAACAATGCCATCTCTAAAGTAGTCCACTGGTAAATAGGGATGATGACGGGGTACAGTAAACGAAATTCTATTTAGTCCGTCAGTTAGATGATCAAAAAATAATGGACACATTTTTTCTTTTCTCTTTCACAACCAAAAAATGACGAAGTTATAGCGCGTCAAAGTTTGGGAGTAGGGGCTCATGACGTCACTTTTTAGTGAATTTTCATTTAAAGGTGTACTTAAACGTGACGTCATGCGACTTTACAAATCAATATATCTCTGCAATGTTTATATAATGTAAAAAAAGAAAAAATACGTGTCCAATACTTTTAGATAATCTACCTGATAAACGAAGAAAAAAAAATAGTCATCATCCTTAATTAAGAAATAATTAATATACCAAAGGAGAGTGGAAAATCGTGGGTGCGATGCAACTTCGATATAAAAATATGAGATTTAGATACAGCAAAACTCTGATTACTCTGCTCTCAGATTATCAAAAGTCACACAAATTGCAGTAATTGTCTAATAAAAAGTAATCTTTTATAAAGGACACCATTTTCATATAATTTTCATTCAAACTTGCGCCCAAAATGTACCTACATTTTAGGCGCAAGTTTGTTCGTAGTAATAGAAAAGTTTATTTCATATCAAGCTTATGAGATAACATATTCTGAAAAGGAAACATAGAGTTATGTAATAAAGTATTAAAAAAACATATTAAACCCATTCAAAAGTAGTTTGATTTAGAAAATATGAAAAAAAAAACATAAAAAAGGGTATTTGAAGGACAATACCATTCAAAAACAATAACCTCTGTTTAAATCTAAATAACATAAATTTAAAGACAAACAAAATCGATTTCAATCACAAGCAAATGTTTCATTTAAATAAGATCATGACACTATGCGAAAGCTTGTAGATATGAACACACGTCCCCTTTACAACCCATTAATTAAAATGAGGTCTGGTCAATTGCATTTTACGCATCATAAATTCGCAAGATTTTTCATTCTTTTGTTTACGCAACAGCATCAACTTTGACACAACTTAAAAGATACTAATATCATTAATATTATAACGTCTTTATGTATAGCTAATAAGCTAATAATAAGTAAAGAAAACTAGTAATTCAAAATAAATTAACTTTAATACTAAAATAATAATAGTTTTTGAGGTACTTTTCTGTGGTAAGGTATTACAAAGATTATTTAAATAAATTATTATTAATTATAGTTATAAAATGATCTTTTATAAAACACAAATTGCAATCACTATCAACAACCAATGCAACACTTTCTTAATTCAACATTATATAATACTAGGAATCCAAGAAAATAAATTATTATTACTATCGCTTAGCCTTAAAGGGGCATAACCATCATCTCAGTTATGTTAAGACATTAATAATAGCTTCACTGTTGGGACACCAGTGGGGTACAACTGCATATGCAGCTGGTACTAATGGCTATACTTATTTATATCATAGTATAATTATCTCACATAATGTTTTACATTTATCTTTCAAAACATTAACGTAGACATTAAAATATTATTGTTCTTCCGGCAGTAAAGAAATATAAGGTTTCCGGTTTACCTCTTGCATGTCTCTTTTTTCTATTTAGGTACTTTAAATTAATGTTACCTATGTAATATTTTAAGGATGACATTTCAAGGTAAAGAGTTAAGGTATTCATTGTAAGTACAATTCGAGATAAATATCTACCTACAGGTTCTTATCAATAAAGTGGACGAATACAGAAAATATATTAATTTAGTGTTTTGTCTCAATTCATAGGGTTAAAGCTGGTTAAAGCTAAAATGAACAGACACTTCCCTTGTAGTGGCTCATTAGCTTCAATTATGAGCCACTACAAGGACTCAAAAAAAGAAACTAATCAAACCACCCACCAATCCGCGCTGGGCCTGCGTGGTGGGTCATGGCCCAATTTCCCTATTCCATCCATAGGGAAGGCCAGTGCCCCAGCAGTGGGGACATTAATAGGCTAGTGATGATGACGAAACAAGCCACCAACCAATGCGCGTGCAATCAAATCAACTACAAAACATTAAGCATAATATTTCTTTTCACGGGGTTTAGTTTCATAAAGTTCATTCTTTTGCCCCTTATGAACTCTGCTTTTAGCCCTGGAGTAATTTGTATTAAATAAAATAAAGCCTCCTTAGCTATTCTTAAATAACAGTATCTTATTGAATAACAAACTCTAACCTACAAGGTACGAGGTATCAAGTATCTATGAGGATGAATATTGTTTAACAGTGCTTACGAGGTATCAGTGAGGATGGGGTTTAACGTAAAATGCTCGGTACTCATGGTCCGGTCCGTACTTCAGCCACCCCGGGGGTGGTTTTGGGATCGGCACCCATTCATTCAACATCGTCGGCCCCCACATCTTCTTCCACACGGCGACGTATATCTTCTTCTCCTTCCAAGTCTTCACCCATCTGGGACGCCATACGAACTTCTTCTTCCAGAACCCGTGGAATTTCGGATCCGCAGGCCGGTAATGTGAAGATCGCTCGCTGAAATCATATTTCTTTTTGTATGACGATTTAGTACGATCTCGATGGCGTAGGAGCTTCCGCGTTCTATCTTTAATCGTAGTAGTAAAGCAACTCCCCAATGACCGGTAAAAAAATGGTTGACCAAAGAAAACGGTTCAAATTTGTAGGGAGGGTCAGTCTTCGGCAGACTCCAATTTTTATGACATATTTGTGCCGTTTAGTGCTGAGACTATGCGCCGTGGGGCCCAAGCGCTCGTTCTCTCTTTAAGGAACTGTCAAAGAGGCTCACTGAGGCGACTGGTGATCAAAAGGCTGGCAGCTATCTAGGTCAACGGATCAGCATTCAGCCATCCAACGTGGCAATGCTGCCAGCCTATTGAGCACCATACCTGACGGCGGCGCTGGGGGTGAAATATATTTTATTTTGTAAATTATATATTAATTAAGACGATGAAAATCTTTGTGATTTAAGTAGTTAAGTAGTTTAAGGTAATTTTGAATGTAAATTTTAGTCATCATGTAGTTTTTAAGTTATTGTTATTTAAATAATGAAGTGAATCTGTGTAAATAATAAAAAAAGATATTGTAATATAATTATTGATTGGCTAATGGCAAGTTTATTAGTGGATTTTTTTGCCAAAGCATCAAATATGTTCTATTAGATAGGTAACTATAGCAGTTTTAATGATTCTGTTCATCTTTCATTATTTATTAGGTATTTTATTTCAAAAAGAATCAATCATAAATTGGTATAATAAGTTCACCACGTTTTCACGAATATTAATTGACATTTGCCATTGAGATTGAGTAGACGTTATAAGCTGCCACACACCTAAAATATCCGTTATCCGTAAATGCATTTTTTGAGCAAATGTTTTGAAAAGGTTTATTTTATACACAATCCAAATATTTTTTTACAAACCCGATATAGAAATTTGAATTTACCAGAAAATTTACTAATAATTTGAAACTTACATCACAGGATCGGCTTCCCCTGGTTGAGGTGGTGCTATCGTAAATTCTTCAACCGCCTGTTGTTCTATTTTCACGGTCGTTGTATCATTCTGATTGTTATCGCTGTTTTCAGATTGTACTGCATAGATGAGAAATATTGAAAAAAATACAACCTGAAAAGTAACAGGGACAATTCTTTTAAAAAAATCTTTGATAATGTTATCCCGCCGAAAACTGTAGCGACGTTGGTCTGTAGGTACAGCAGAGACTGGCGCTTCAACCTGCATGCTGCTAAAGCTACACAACATTTTCTTTGCAATAACAGTTTCAGAAGCTGTTAAGGTTTCGACATTATTCCTCGTTTTGAATAAGATGTTTGGATTTTCTTTCATATTTTATGCCTTACAGGGAACAGGGCTCTACAAACCTAGTATAAGGTAAATAAATAAGGTGGCATTCTCACATTGCCGACCTGAACCAACTAATCTGTGGAAATTTGGAAACTAAACTGGAGGAATTGGAGCACCCGGTGCTCCATGCTATGATGTTACAAATATTTAAGTACACTTTAATTACTAATAGAATTACGATAGTTAAATCTCTGCTTATGATATAAGTTTTGTTATTCTAAGTATTAAAAATAATCAAAGGAGCACTAACCGAAATTTTGAAAGCCATTGTACTTAAATTCCCTCTGATTCTTTTAACTAGTAAAATAAATTATGAAAAATTGCTGATCGATATGTCTGTCAATCGGCTATAAATAAAATGATGTGACACCTCGATCAATAAAGCCTTTTATAGTGAAATCTCATTTGCAATTCAGACAGGGCCGGCCAACTATATAGTTCCTTTGTATATAATTCAAAGTGGCGACACTTTGAATTATAAGTATTCTAAACTCAACATACTCGTACATTTTAAGTGTGTTCCTTTGAGGGTTGGTTGGCTTATAAGCACGGGCAGGTTAAGAGTAAAATGTTAGAAAAAAAAATTGTTTACCTACTTAGATACATATAAACGACACCACATTTTGCAATTATTAGGATTTTGACTTAGATCTAACCACCAAAAGTGATGGCAAGTTGTCAAATTAGTCGCTACAATTTAGGCTATCAGCTTTTTTGTATGAATACCCATGTTCTCTTCGTTGAAAAACGTTTACTAACTGCGCTGGAAAGCTGCAATGGAAGCTGACAAATTCTACGACTTTCGTTTTCTCCCAGTCTATTGGGGTAGATAACAATGGATGTTTAATTAGTATTAAAAATAAAGAAGAAGTGTCACGTCATTAAGCAGATATATTTTGACAAGGTATCAAAATTGATTAACGTCTCCGAGTGCGGACGAAAGGTGTATTATACCTATTTTATTATATTTAGTATGTTTAAATGCATGCCACTAAGTGAATAATTATTTTAACGTTTCAGACTCAGGACTGAAAAGGATTCATGTTTTAATAACTAGTTCAATTACTAACTCAACTAAGATTTTATAGAAATTTAGATTATTAAGTAATAGCTAGTCTGGAAGAGATTCATTATATCCTCTTGTGTGTAATATACTCGATATGATGTGATATGAATCTCTTACAGACAACATTTAAAAAATACCTTTTAAAAACTTCATTAGCACTATTTTTTTTCTTTCTCACGTCTATACTAATATTATAAAGCTAAAGAGATTCTTTGTTTGTTTGGTTGAACGTGCTAATCTTTGGAACAAGGAAGTGGTCTGATTTGAAAAAGTGTTTTTCTGTTGGGTAGTCCATTTATCGAGGAAGGCTATTGGTAACTTATCTGATTTGAAAAAGTGTTTTTCTGTTGGGTAGTACATTTATCGAGGAAGGCTATTGGTAACATAACTGATTTGAAAAAGTGTTTTCTGTTGGGTAGTCCATTTATCGAAGAAGGCTATTGGTAACATAACTGATTTGAAAAAGTGTTTTTTGTTGGGTAGTCCATTTATCGAGGAAGGCTATTGGTAACATAACCAATTTGAAAAAGTGTTTTTCTGTTGGGTAGTCCATTTATCGACGAAGGCTATTGGTAACATAACTGATTTGAAAAAGTGTTTTTTGGGTAGTCCTTTTATCGAGGAAGGCTATTGGTAACATAACTGATTTGAAAAAGCGTTTTTCTGTTGGGTAGTACATTTATCGTAGAAGGCTATTGGTAACATAACTGATTTGAAAAAGTGTTTTTCTGTTGGGTAGTACATTTATCGAGGAAGGCTATTGGTAACATAACTGATTTGAAAAAGTGTTTTTTCTGTTAGGTAGTCCATTTATCGAGGAAAGCTATTGGTAACATAACTGATTTGAAAAAGTGTTTTTCTTTTGGGTAGTACATTTATCGAGGAAGGCTATTAGTAACATAACTGATTTGGAAATGTGTTTTTTCTGTTGGGTAGTCTATTTATCGAGGAAGGCTATTGGTAACTGATGTTAACGCTACGATCAGAAGGAGCGGCAGATTGATGAAAAATGTTGAGAAAACGCAGAAAAAATATTCCGTATGACAGCTTCCTTTGCGTGAGCTGCGTAAATGGTTAAAGTTACACAGAAATCATGTATGACGGATTTGTTCCCACTTAAAGTTCTATAAACAAGTCCGTGACAGCATATGTCCATCTTTTATTATTATTATTTAAGTTTTGACTTTTCCCCTCAAATTAAACACATTGGGCTCGTAGACTTCGGAGATTTTGTGTGGTTTCGTTTGAAATAGAAATCACGTGATTTCTCGAAAACCGGAAGTGCTACGTTACTCAAATCCGGTTTGTTGTCTTATCAGACTATTCTTAACTTATAACTTAAACATTCTCTTTATCTATCTCTTACGGTTTGGCCGCTGAAACAGCACCACGGACGGACGGACGGACTTGTCTATTAGATAAGAGATGAGGAGCTCGATGGCGCAGGTGGTTGCCGCATTGGACTGCGATCGTTGAACTTTAGCAACTTTCGCAGTGGTCGGTCATTGGAAGGGTGACCAAAATCTTCTATCTCGAGTTCCTCCGTGCTTCGGAAGGCACTTTAAGCCGTTAATCCCGGCAGCATTTGCAGCCGTTAGCTTCCGCCAATCGGGCCCGCGTGGTGGGTCATGGCCCAATCTCCCTATTCCATCCATAGGGAAAGCCTGTGCCGCAGCAGTGGGGACATTACTAGGCTGATGATGTTTCATTTAAGAAACTTATTTGTATGGATAAAAATTTTAAAGCTTTAAATGAAACTAGCGGCCCGCCCTCGCTTCGCTTCGGTTTAGAGCTGAAGTGTAGACTACAGTTTTTGTTCTCAGGCTTGTATTATACACAATGACATTCATCTATGATTTTTCTTATACCTGCATGCAAAGTCTCAGCCCGATCAGTTTAAAATTGACAAAGTTTCATACAAACTTTCATTCCCTATTTTATCCTCTTGGGGGTAGAATTGATCAAAATCCTTTCTTAGCGGATGCTTACGTTATAACATCTACCTGCATGCCAAATTTCAGCCCGATCCGTCCAGTGGTTTGCGCTGTGCGTTGATAGATCACTATGTCAGACAGTCGGTCACCTTTGAGTTTTATATATAGGTATAGATAGATAGATTATAGCTACCTAACTTTTTGATACCGCATGATATGTCTTTCTGGTTCATTTTTAATACCAACCAGCCTGCACAGACAAATCATGCTGTCCGCGTACACAGGGCCTGTTCCATTGATCACACATTCACAATTTCATATGCGTACGCACTAGTTGCTTCTGACACGTAACGTTACGCGCGCTGCCATAAGAATTATATTATCGTTATTTATATAACAAAGAAAGCGGTGTAAAACTAAGTAAGTAGTACGTGCCACTTTACTCTAGGTCGTAAAAATTATCGTGTCAAAATATCTACCTACGTCATTTCAAGTGAGCGGCCGGTGTTTAGAGATCGTAGTAGTGGCTTGGCTGTTTTCTTTTTTTTTTTTGTTAACGCAGGCAAAATTCTGTTTACACACGACGGCGCCTTTATGAGGCACGCCGCCGAACGGACCTCACACCTGGCTCCCGCAAGCTTTACGGGCCCCCGCAATAATTACATAAAATTAAATTTTACAGGAGCTGTATAAAACTGTACTAGCTGTTACCCGCGGCTACGCTCGCGTGGTTTTCCTATTTGAGGCTATCATCCTCTTTTGACATAGTGAGTAAAAAAGTAGCTTATAGCAACCCAAAGCTTCAACCTACATACTTACCAAATTTCAAAGTGGTTTAGGCTTCGAGGAAGGATAAACAAAACAAACACTCTCATAATAATACCTAATACTACTATGGATAGTACGTAATAAAACTTCAAAATGTAAAAGCATTAGTATTACTTATTAGAATAAAGGGTTTAATTATTTTAAACACATAGCAGTACTATTTAAGTACGCTACTGTACACGATGTTATGTGTTTTTCCATCCGGGGCCAGAATGAATAGATTTTCAGCCTTAGACACACGCGAACATACAACATACTCGGTTTTTGTAAATTCACCCCCGCTACCTTTAAGCACCTACTCAACTTGTTTATAGTAGGTAGGTATTTAAAATCCAAAAAAAATCCAATAATTATCCATTCACCTATTTTCACAAAAACCCAAGATCAATGTGTTAAGTTATTCGTCAAAACGATTGCTTTTTAATATTCCTTTTTGTTTTTTTAATTTAATTATTTTTATTTAATTATTATTATTTTAATAACAGATACTTAACATATATTATGTTGGTATATAGATAGGTAATTCGTATTTTATTAAAATCAAGGTATTTACCTATCTAGGTACCTGCCGAAATAGTATGCGCACTTAGTAGATAATGTAGGTAGGTACCAATCAAAGTAGGTAGGTACCTATCTACAAAGGTATCTACCAAATAGGCAGCCCTTCTTTCAGAGCAACAAAACCAATCAAAAACTACAATACCATATTATTACAAAAACCAATACCTACCTATGCGTTGTCTATCTCACTGGTAAAAATCGAGGTAGGTAGGTTATAATATAATTTTTTATCAGTGAGCCAATTTTATACATTCGAAGAAACTACCAAAATACCTACCTAATTCATTTAATGCACAACAAAACCAAATCACAAAGGAAAACAAAAACAGATATGTAGGTAGGTAGGTACCTTGGGTAATCGTATTTCTTTAAAATCAATCAAGGTAGGTAGGTACCTACTGCTTGCTGTTGCTTACCTGCTGAAATAGTAAGCATTTAACACCACCACGTTGATTCTTCTCTAATAGCACAGATAACAGAATACTATTAAAAACAATAAATATAAAAAAGTAATGTTCATGAATAGCGCCATCCGAAAAACCTCAGATTTTTAGTGCAAGTAAACTCGATTTTAATGACGGGTAGCGACATCTCTTCAGTTTCACACGCAACAGCTTGGTTTTCGAATTGTTATTGGAGTTGGTAGCGCCTACCTCACGGAGGAAAACTTACCTCCGTGGCCTACCTCTACTCAACATCCAGGATCAATCTTCACTTGAAAATTATTGGATAATACTCGATTAAGGGACTAAAATAAATCATAACAGCTGTTTATTTAGTATCTGTCTACTGTAAACAGCTGATTGTTTAATATCTATTTGATGTTTATAAGATTTTCTGGTAAGATATTAGGACACTGAAGGAAGGCGGTTTTTTTACTAATATTGTTTTAATTAAAATATTTACCTACATCACGTTAAAATTAACAATAAATATTAAAAAGTGTTCATAAATAGCGCGAGCTGAAAAAACGCATATCACAACTCACATTTTTAGCAATTAAAAATACTCGATTTTAAAGACGGGTGGTGTCATCTGTTAAGTTACTCAGAAAATATTATTTCAAGAGAGACTACTCGGTTGAGCTGGTATTCGAGATGGTAGCGCCATCTCTATTTTATATATTATTATAAGCAACATCCAGAATCTATAATCACTCGAAAATGATATTTTTATATTATAAATTTAGAGTAGTATTTGCTACATTTAATTTTAAAAATGAGATTAGAAAGAAATTGCGTAAAATTACCTCGATTTAATAAATGAAACACTAACACGAAATATTCGGTATTGAACACGAGTGGTGCCAGTTAAGATAGCAACTTCCACATTTCAAATTTAATCTGTCTTCGTGACAGTAGCGCCATCTCTATTGGGACCAACCATGAAAATGATTAATTTAGTTGAAAATTATGTAAATTCGAATACATAAATTAAAAAAAAGTAGCCTATAGCAGTCTTATAAGTTCAAGCTATACATATACCAAATTTCATCACAATCGGTTCAGCGGCTTAGGCGTGAAGAGAAGACAAACAAACAAACAAACACACTTTCCCATTTATAATATTAAATAATAATAATTAATAATAATATTAATATAAAGTAAAAAAAGTATGGATGCACAACCTCCAGTGAGCTTATGGCATGGTTTTTGTAATCTTAACACTGAATTTAAATTTAGTAATTTTAACACTGATTTAGGCGGTTTTGATTAAAAAATATTTGAAATTCAAATTAAACGAACACGAAACCTCCGGACTTTAAAGAAAAGGTAGTTTGACCAGATGCGTAATTATACCTACCGTTTTGTTCGCCAGTACCCTTAGAACGAACCAATATCGAATTCGAATCGTTTGCGAGTCCGAAATGTCATTGTCAAATGTGTACTGATTTTAAGTTCACGTTACGCACTTTGTGGCGCTACTGTACAAGTTACGATACAAAATTTGACATTGACATTTCGTTTTGCAAACTAGTCGTATTTGATAATGGTTCGTGCTAGGTGCACTGATTTTAAATTCACGTTACGCACTTTGTGGCGCTACTGTACAAGTTTCCATACAAATTTTGACATTGATTATATATATATTAAATATATATTAAACTATTCGAATTCGATAATGGTCCGTGCCAGTGCCAGTCTACTTCAAGTAGTAAATGGGAACTCAATTCTTTCAGACATGCATGGCACTGATTCCAAATATTAATTTGACTAAAGATATAAAAGGTTTATTATTTCGTTATTATTTTCGGTTGTATTTCTTTTTGTTGCTATTTTTCTTTTTGTTTGTACTATACACAAACTATACAACTCGGCATCAAAATCCTATGTTTTCATACTCTTAGGGTTGTTTTTTCGTTTCAAATTCATTTGGGATTAACTTCGAGGTAAGAATACTCTTTCCAATAAAGAAAGAATTATCAAAATCTGACTACTCTGCAAAATAGCTATGCGTGATCATACATAAAAAAAAATACGCGTTGACTTGAGAACTTAATCTGTATTTTTTCGTCGGTTCAAAATCCATCCACCCATCACACAATTGGTGCGGCAGAGATAATTGTCACACCAACAATTATTATGCTTACGTTACTGTTTACCAAAAAGGCTTGAACTCATTCCGCCGCCGTTCGCAGCCTGCCAGCCCGTTTTCAATGATATCGACAGTGGAAAGGAAATCGCTTATACCTTTCATAAAAGACAGCGCGTGTTTATGTTTCGGAAAGATTTGCGACTCAAGCAAAGACTTAAGCGACTCAATTTTTAGTTTTTTTATTTATTGTTCAGTAGTTGTGCCCCGCGGTGTTATCCGCGGTTTATTAGGGATATTTTCCCGCAGTAAAACGTAGTCTATATGTTAGTCCAGGGTGTCAGCTAACTCTAATGCAAATTTTATTAAAATCGCTCTAACCGTTTAGACCTGAAGAAGCAACAAACATACACACTCAAAAACTTTCACCTTTCTTAATATAAGTGTGATAAAGCTGAAGCGTGAAGTTATTGTAGCGTAAAATATTGCATTGAAAAACAATTAAAAAAAACTATTTAAAAATCACAATAAAATATAATTGGTTCTACAAAGCTACTGCGAGTACCAACGGCAATGGCTCTGAATAGCGCTATCGTTTCGTTTTTATAAAGAGTTTATAAGCATTTGAATGAAAATCGTATTTAAAAAAATAAATAAACATTGAATTTATCTTGAGTTTTACGTTGTTTGACTTTGTTTTAAGTATTTTAGTTGTTACTTATATTGATATTAATTTCCGATGCAGAAAATAAAGTCTCCTGCTCAAATATATTGTGGGAACGATAGGCAACTACGGAACCCTACGTTGCGCATGGCACGTACGCACTTGGCCGGGTTTTTTTTAGCCAATGTCGTTTCTTACGTTTACTATTTTGCGTATGATTTGATGTCAGCTTGACTAGAAATATGCTTGACTAGATATATGGCGGGCCGAGTGATTTCGTTAAATAAAGGCACTATGTACCTATCTTTTTATTAGTAGGATATCTAGAAAATTATTTTTATGATACGTTTTAATTTTCATGGCGCTACTTCTCTGTTACGATTTGATTTTTTATGATATGTTAAGAATTATGATTGATGTGAAAAAATAATTATCCTCTTTTCTGTAAAGTTAATATATCTCTTCCCCTGATGTTAAGTGTTAAGGAACACATGAGCTGCATCAAAGCATTCCATTTGTAGATAGTGCGACATAGAAATAAGTCACCTTTCTTGGTCAAGAGGGATTAATGGCCACAGCGAGTCGATGACAACGTAGGCCAGCGCGCGTGGGCCACTGAAGGAAATGGAAAAGTGGAATAAGGGAGAATAACTCCACAGAAAACTCTCCATGGTATTCTTTTCAGTTCGTGGCCATACGTGCAACGCGCTGGGATCTTTAAGAAGGCGGCCTCTGATCCAAGCTGCCTGCTTACGTGAAACAGTTTCAGTAATGGCAAAGGCGCTGGCCGATAGATCCATAAATGTCAATTCACCTATTACTTTTAATACAAATTAGTTACCTGCTGTGGATATGATGTGTACACGTACCACAACGTGTGCTTGTGGTAAAGTGCATTACCTATATCATGAAGCAAATGTATTGAAAAGGGGTTTTCAAGTAAGGTACGACTTAAATTATACTTGTTAAATTACTTGAATGTGTTAGTACTAATACATAATTAAATTATTTATTTGTATTAGTAACATTTGGTTAAATAGTGCATTATATGGCTGTATGGTTATAGAATTCGTGTACATGTCAGCTGATTTGACATTAGCTATCAATGTCACTGTCATAGTGTCATGTTTACCTTTGTGGTGTGATGTGAGTGATGTGATAAGCATCTTTTATCATTATTTTTAACAAAACAAAAGTTTTTCTTTGTAAATAACGTTTTTTTCTAAAGACAATCTTGTTAATCTTACTGAAAACAGAGTTTTTCAAGGTTATAATTGTACACATAATTCTTGCAAAATTAACTAACAAAAGTAACAAAGACATTGTTCTTGCTCATGTTTACTTGTCTGGAGAAATTAAAACTACTAAATCGTACATTTTTTCATGTTACAAAGTGAGAAATAACTATCATGATTACGTAAGACTGTATTGGGAACGTGTTGGTTTCATTTTATCCTGTGAGTAATTTCAGTTAAATTTCCTGCTACTGAATGTTGGAACCAGCTACACGATGCAGCCTTTAATCTCACCCATCAGTAAGTATATTTAAAGTAATTTTTGTTTAACTTATAGATTAACAAGCTGCTTATATATAGTACAAGTAACTAGGTTCATAGTAGGTAGGCAATCGAATTTTTCTACAAGTATATAGGTAGTAATTTAATGCTAACTTTTTGTTTGTGTTGAGTTGCGTTTTCCGCAAGAATGTAGGTAACCTTAATAATGATAATAAAATAAATATGCTATTGTCTAAAAAAAACAACACTAAAAAATCGGACATGGCTAATAAAGCCAGACCTTAAGGCCTGACCATGAATTACTGCCACTCAATATGATAAATCTCAAATATGTTTTAATATATTGCTTTCTGTAGAATACAGCAATACACTATCTTAATTTTTTTTTATAGGTCTGAGTAATTGTTTTGAAAAAGTATTTTAAGACATGAATAAAAAAGCTTCATTACTTTCTTAAATGACTTGTAAGACAATGGTGTCAATTATGGCATGATTCTCCAAACTTAAAACTTAATTTAACATCAGTCTCGCTTTTCACTCTGTATAGAGAATGACAAGGATACACTGTTGTCAAATTTAAATTTAGGTTTAGAGAATCATGTCAGAAGTCAGAATCAACACCATTAAAGCTAAATAGGGCCGATTTTGATTAAGATGAAGAATTTTGCCACAAAAGTAATACAGAAGCACCATATACATATATTGTGGGTGTAATGGCTTGTTATTCTTCTGGCTAATATTAAATCAAAGTTACTCAAGCATTTTTTCCCCTTTTTTCTGTGTTACATGCAATGCTTATAATATGTGTAATGATATACCTATATGATTAGGATAAAACTGAAATCATTTTGGGTAACAAATAATATGTTACAATTAAACTAAGTGTGTAGGTATCTATTTGAAATCAAATTACTGAATTGCGTAAATGTCACACATGAAACCCTATATTTTATGCAATACTTTATTTGAAATAGCTTGGAAAGTGAAGGGCACCTTTAGCAGTAATATGATACGAAAATACTGTTTAAGCTTCAATTGAGTTACACACTGAAATTATTTTTAGTAAAACACACATCAAAAGTGTTAAAAGGATCACATACTTTTCCACAACTTGCAAATAAATAGCAAAATATATAGGGGTATGTTGTTAATTCATTACAAATTGATAAGTCAATCCGGAAAATTTTACCTGTAGATAATTTTTCAAAGGTTATATTAAAACTAAGGCTCCCAGCCTCAGAAAGAGTTTTGAAGAGAACCTTGCACTTACTCCCTTTCATATACTTGTTCATTTTGTTTTGAAAATTGTTTCTTGCTATTTTGGGACTTATCTTTGCACTTATTGTTAGTAAATTTGTTGATTGTCTATTGTTACATATTTGACATTATGTGATGGAAGTTGACCTCAACACATGTTTGCAAGTTTGATGTCAACTTTCAATTGGACGACACTGTATGAAATAAAACAGGGAGAAAAAAGCAGCCCTTGCTGAGTTTCTTTCCGGTTCTTCTCAGTACAAGGTCTCCCGCCGTAAATTTGCGAACCGATGGCGTAGCTTTTCGACATTCACAAGTGCTTGTAACAGCCTATACTGAATAAACAATATTGAATTTTGATTTTTTTTGAATACAGGATTTGCTTAACGTATTGAAATGTAGTTAATTTCTAAAATTAACTCGTTCCCTAGAAACTTTTGATGAGTAAATTTCATCTTAGGGTATGCATAGTAAATATTTTATTATATCGTTTAGAAAAATAGTCACACAGACGATTAAGATTCGATAGTAAGTCTCCATTGTCTCAGAACCATGATAAATTTCGTATCAAGAGTGAGGATGTTATGATGATTGTGTATTTTTGAAAATGAAATAAAAATGCAGTCTCTTAAGATTAATAAATATTTCCAACACTCACACCAATTAGCCTAGCCCCAAAGTAAGCACTGTAAGGCTTGTGTTATGGGATGCTAGGGTAACGGAAAGGATACATATACTGTACGTATATAAGTACATTTATACAGAAATACATATTAAACTTCCATGACTGGAGTACAAATGTTCGTTTTCATCACACAAACATCTGCCGCCACCAGGATTCGAACCCGGGACCTCTCGAGTCGGCGACACTATGAAACCCGGCGTGCAAACCACTCGACCACGAAGGTCGTCAAAATAAAATCTAATATTGCTACTGTTGATGAAAAATATTTCTTAAATGGTGACCGATATTCTGTATTTGGTCTTTTGTGATGCTTCAGACAGAGTCAGGATATAATTACTGATCAATTGATATTTTAATTTATGGTATCCCAAGCGTCTATAGGCTACTGTGGCTGCTTACTATCAGACGAGCCATGAGCTTGTTTGCTGTCTTAGGATGCAACTGGCCTTTGGTCCGAGGCCCACATTACACGGAGTAGAAACACTAGTGGAAAAGTTGCCCGAAAGAGTGAGCCAGAATACCATGTGAAAAAAATATCGTAGTAAAATCGATCCATTGGGATTTTATTCAATTAAATTTAACAATTAGGTGCGAAATAGCGAAAAAAATATATAAACTTTTTAATGTTTTAACAAAAAAAGTATTGCTGTATGTTATTATTACTTTAATCAGGCTTTATAAAAATAGTCATTTGCACTTTTATGAACATTGTAAAAACAATAATGACTTTCCTTAAAACAGTTCTCATATATATATATATATATATATATTGTTTTAAACTTTCATGGTCACTAACATTATAGTAATATAAGTTTTTTATTAATATAAGTTGATCACGGAGCAACTCCGTGATCATGGCGCTTGCAACAGTGCCGAAATATCGGAAACTCGCTAAAAACAAGGTACATGGTAACAATCCCGTAAATAACTTATATTACTCATATATATAGTAGGTACGAACATATATATAAATAAAAGGACTAAATTTTTTATATTTCTTTAAATTTTTTATTTAATTAAATAAAATCCCAATGGTTTGATTTCACTACGATATTTTTCCCTATGGTATTCTGGCCAATATATTTGACCAAATTTTCCACTAATGTTCTCATACTCCGTGTAATGTGGGCCGCGGACCACAGGCCAGTTGCCTCCTAAGCCTGTTTGCCACCCTTTGAACATAAAAAAATCAAGTGACTCCACAGAACGCAGAAAAAGGTTCCTCTTTTAAAGAGGACCTCTTCCTATGTTCTGCGGTTGACTCAATAATTCATCAATGCCTAACCCAATCCCTTAATTGGATCTACAAAACTAAAAGTTTGCACGTTCTACTGGTCTACTGGTCTGTGTGTCCATTTGAAAAAGACTAGCTTCCGCCCGTGACTTCGTCCCCTTTAACTTTATAGTTTCGCAACTATCTTAATTTTTTACCTTCTACAAAGTAGGCATTACAAAACATTGAAACAAATGATGCAATTAAGTCGATCTCAAATTATGACGTGACCAAGGGAAACAGCGGTAATTTTTATGTACATATTTAGTGATAAGCGATTCATATTATCCCTGATTCATTTGGGGAAATGAAGTTGTTCCCTGGTGAAGCAGTATTATTCACTAGCACTCGTACTAAGCCACATAGAAACTGCTTAGGAAGCATTAAAAGTTAAAGAATTAAGCCATACACCTTAAGGGTTGAGTCGGCTACCCAAATTAAAGAAAAATTAAAATCTATAATGTTAAAAATAGGTAGTCTTTTTTACTTCTTATCTAGACATTAAACTAAATCCTAGCGAAATAGGAATATCTGAACTGTGAACGTTCATACCGACGATATCTAAAGCAGGAAAAAAACAATGAAGTTAATCATTGAATATTAACGATCTGGTAGACTCGCGGTTCATAATAAAATAACTAGCGGGGCAGGCGATGGCGAGATACTTGAAATCTGTTTCATTTTATAAATGTAATTAAATCCAATGTTGATTAGCTGAGCTGTATCCTTTACCGATCGCATTGGTTTGCTAACACTTGATTGCGTTCAGTTTGTTAGTAGATATCGTGTTCTGCTGGTGCTCTGACGAACAAACCATGCCGCTATCGAAGCGCTCGTAAATTAATAACCATTTGCCTAATAAACAAAGATACAGAATGGTGGAAATACAACTCGTAGGACTATCTAGTAATGTTTTGTTTGGGAAATACATGTAGTCAACGTCGTGAGTTTGATGCTTGTAACACGTTTACAATATTGACTTTTGAAATGGCTTGTCTAATATCTGAATAGTTTTTGTTTCAAATAGTTTATTGTTTTGTTTTTGATTTCATATTATGCATTTTCTTTGGATCGACCTGGATTTCGTTTTAGTGCCGAATTGTTAGGTATATAATGATTTCAGACCACGAGTCGCGGCATAGTTCGTACCATCTGAATGAAGAAGCAGAAGAGCCCAGTGCAGCCGAGGACACACCGTTGTTGCAAAGGTTTCCTCCCTTGCTGAGGACGCCAAGCAGTCCCCTAACTACGTTCATCGTGACATTCCTGTTAATTATATTAGTCTCAGGAGTTGTGATCGGCATATATCTACTCATATTACAAAATAAAGCAGGTTGGTTTATTTTTTATTTTTACTAGCGGTCCTTAATTGGCCGAAGTTCAACCTTTTTTTATTATTCTTCTTTCAAATACATTTAGCTATAGTATAAACTGGTACGGTAATTGAGTATGAGATATCGTCGGTACATTAAGTTATATCTATCGGAATGATTTGTTTATTTAAATAAATAGGTGGGTGTATTACCGAGACTTAATTAATATCTGTTCTTTTTTTCTATATGTGTCATTCATATGGTACGGTTTTTTACGAGAAAAAATATTATCAATATTTTTCATGGTATTTGTGATAATTCATTCAGATTTGAAATGCTAAATCGATGTTTTCTTTGATTTTTAGTGGTCGACTGGGTAATTTTGTCTATAATATGCGCACATAGTGTTTTATCCCGATTGGCATATAGAAGGAGGTTAATATTTTTCGCGTACATGTTGGTGTGTGCTTGTACATGTTAGTCCCGTATTTCAAATACCAATTCAGTCTCCGTGGCATGAGAACCATCACAATTTACATTATGTTACGTTTTTTTATCGCGTCTGCCAAACTCTATACTAATAATAAACATGAGATTTATATCACACTAGCGGCCCGCCCTCACTTCGCTTCGGTGTAGAGCTGAAGTGTAGACTACAGTTTTTGTTCTCAGGCTTGTATTATAAACAATGACATTCATCTATGATTCTTCTTATACCTGCATGCAAAGTCTCAGCCCGATCGGTTTATAATTGACAAAGTTTCATACAAACTTTCATTCTCTATTTTATCCCCTTGGGGGTAGATTTGATCAAAATTCTTTCTTAACGGATGTCTACGTCATAACATCTACCTGCATGCCAAATTTCGACCCGATCCGTCCAGTGGTTTAGGTTGTGCGTTGATAGATCACTTTGTCAGTCAGCCAGTTTAAAATTGACAAAGTTTCATACAAACTTTCATTCCCCCATTTATCCCCTTGGGGGTAGAATTGATCAAAATCCTTTCTTAGTGGATGCCTACGTCATAACATCTACCTGCATGCCAAATTCAGCCCGATCCGTCCAGTGGTTTGGGCTGCGCGTTGATAGATCACTATGTCAGTCAGTCAGTCTCTTTTGAGTTTTATATATATAGATGTTCATGCTAGGGATGGACTAGAAACAAACAAAAGAGGCATTCAATATGTCATCTTTGAGAATTCGTATAGGTATTCATATCTCAGAAATAGTTAGAATTATTTTTTATTGAAGTTCTTTTTTAGGGAGGAAATGTGGTGAAAATTGCTTTCTATTACAGAAAATGTGTTACCACCCGTGGAAATGCCACTCCAGTACGTCAGCCGGCTGCAATGGGATGGGGGGGCTTCCCCTGTCCTGTCAATGTCTCCCCATAAGGCCAGCAAGGTGATAGTGGTACACACTGACAGTGACACCTGCGACACTGTTGACACTTGCTCGCAGCTGCTGCGTAGCATGGAGGTCAGTATTATACTAAAAAATAAATCATACCTAAATACATGTGCATCGTGCATTACGTATGTGAAATCGACGGCGGTAAAAATTTAATCAGCCAAATAGAATCGAGAGTCTTATTTTTATTGCTGTGTTTGTAATTAAAATGATGATATTTTGAATTGACGACCTCTGTGGCCGAGTGGTTTATACGCCGGGTTTCATGGTGTTGCCGACTCGAGAGGTCCCGGTTTCGAATCCCGGTGGGGGCAGATGCATTTGTACTCCAGTCCTGGATGTTTAATATGTATTTCTATATAAATATACTTATATATGTACAATATATGTATTTTATCCGTTACCCTAGTGCTTACTTTGGGGCTAGGCTAATTGGTGTGGGTTTTGGAAATATTTATTATTATTATTATTTATTTATTTATTATTTGTTTGCAAAACGTCGTTTGGTAACATCGTATTTTCTTTTTTAGCAAAGAGTATTTTTTATAAGTATTAAAAGGGCGGCGAACTAGTATATCGCCGGCGTGATGGTAAGCTGTCACTATAGCCTTTAGACGCTAGCGATATTAAAATGCCTGGCGCGCTTGCCTACTCTGGCTCAATCCTCTACACTATGGAGCCCTGGAATCTTACTTTTTAACAAAAACACGACACCACCAAATAATTGTGTTATTTTCCTGTAAACTTCTGTAAGTTATTTACTTCCCCAGTCGGGGGCTCCGTTTCGAGCGGAAAATCCGATACGCCCTACCTCCCTTTGATTTCCAATGTTATTTTTGTATATTTTATAGTTTTTAATCATTAGGTGACACATGAATGCACTTAATGCCTACTTACTTACTGTCTACAAAACATGTCAAAAGTTAACTATGACGTGACGTGACGATTCTTATTGCTATAGCAGTAAGGTTTTATATAATACTAGCTTTGCGCCGCGGTATTACCCGCGGTTTATTAGGGATAGTTTCCCGCAGTATGTGTTAATCCAGGGAGTCAGCTAACTCCATTACAGATTTTATTAAAATCGCTCCAGCCGTTTAGACCTGAAGAAGTAACAAACATACACACTCATACATTTTCGCTTTTATAATATTAGTGTGACATTACGCATTGTGGCGTACCGTTTCCTAGATCACGGACGAATCGCGCTTAGATGATGTTACACCGCGGACCTAGAACTACATAGCTTGTGGTTACGTGGATACTGATAACAATAATTGTAAGAGTATACAATTGTTATTACTATCGTCTGGCAGACAGTTGAAACAACTGCTCAATGCCTACATCCCTTCTATTTTGTTTTCTCTATTCAAGAATATTTATCTAATGCTTTCTAAATTTATTTTTCATCATCAACATCAGCCTATTAATGTCCCTACTGCTGGGACACAGGCCTTCATTATGATTGGAATAGGGACATTGGGCCATGACCCACCACGAGAGCCCAGTGCGGATTGGCGGGTGCTAACGACTGCAAATGCAGCCGGGACCAACGGCTTAACGTGCTTTCCGAACTCGAGATAAAATAATTTTGGTCACACATCCAATGACCGACAACTGCGTAAGTTGTTTATGACCGACCACTGCGAAAGTTGTTTATGACCGACGACTGCGAAAGTTGCTTCTTCTGAAATTTATTCTTCGACTGTGCTGAAATCACTTCTTCGGGTAATTGTTTCCAAGAATTAATAACCCTGATACTGAAAAAGTGGTCGTGAGCGATTATTGAATTGATAACAAAAAATATTTTTATCTTCTATACTTATAATAAATCTGTAGAGATGTCAATTCTGTACATGAAATATATTTTTAAAATAACTATCAGGGGGTGATCAGTGATCGATACTGATGCCAAAAATGCAATCAGTAAATTTTTTGTCTGTCTGTCTGTCTGTCTGTCTGTGTGTTTGTTCCTTATAGAAACAAAAACTACTCGACGGATTTTAACGAAACTTGGTACAATTATTCTTCATACTCCTGGGCAGGTTATAGTATACTTTTCATCACGCTACAATCAGTAGGAGCAGAGTAGTGAAGGGAAATGTTGGGAAAACGGGAGAAGTTACTCCATTTTTTAAGCTTCCGTCGCGTGTGCAGCCTTAATGATTAAAGTTACATAGAAATCATGTATGACGGAAATATTCTACATAAAATTGTTTAAAAAATATCCCACAACAGAATATGTCTATCTTTTATGGTTGACTCACAATAACACGTGTAACTCCCGATAGCTTAGCAGTTCGGCGCATTCTGATCATATTTGTTTACTCTTACGTTTATAATACTCGGTATAGAAACACCAAACTTATACATGAAATAAGCCATCGCGCCGTCGCACGTGAATACTGAATCATGCTATAAGGATTATTTTTGTGTAACGGTTGCCGCGCTCGACACGGGTCGCGGCAGCGGTAGGGTATCAAAGGTCCGAGAGCGAGCTGTCTAAATCTGTTTTCTGCGTCGCTCCCCCCCTGGGGGACGATCGCTTCCGATGAAGCCTTAGAGGCCTTCCCGGCCAGAGGCAGCCCCTACGGGTGTTTTTAGTCAGTACCTTGCAGCCGGCTGTAGGGTATCCATGAGGATTTCTCATCTGCTCCCCCGCCTGGGAGACCGAAACCGTGCTTATCAGCGCGACTTTTAGTCTTTAAATAGTTTATTTGAATTTCTTTTGTTGTTATTTTGTAAAACAGGTATTAGTTGTTTTGGTAGTGTTTAAATATTCGTTCAAATTAAAAATTATTAAGCGTAGGTACTTTTATTAATTAAAGTAGTTATAAGTATTTATTTTTAAGTGAAGGAGGTATAGGTAGATAGTATTGCACAGGCGTTTCAGCTTTATTTTCATTTCTTTTTTGTTGTGAGTTGTATATATTTCTGGTTATAATTCTATAAGAATATTTTAGTTCAAATAGTCACTTAGATTTTATGTGTAAGGTAGCTAAAGTTAGGACCACGTATTAGTTGTTTTGGTAGTGTTTAAATATTCGTTAAAAGTGTAATTTAATCATATAGGATGAATGTACGATGGCCCATCGAAAAGGAGTAGAAGCGGTAGACAGAACTTTAAGAGATATAAGACTGATGAAATGATCGACCCATGTTTTCACAGTTTTATTTTGTGGTGATTTCCGACAAACCTTAACGGTAATACCACGGGGAACCCGAGCTGCTGAGGTTAGGGCTTGCCTGAAAAGCTCTTATTTGTGGCGTGATATACAATCGGTGCATTTGACTATAAACATGCGAGTGAGAACTGTAGATAACCCGGATAATCGTGAATTTTCTGATATATTATTAAAGAAAATACCTTCACCAAAGATACCTATCCACTGCTACACCAAGGAAAATTTATTCTGACGCCTGAGTTATGTTGTATAGTGCAATCCCAACAACATCTTACATCGTCAGTTTACGGTGACGTAACAAATATATTAAATAAGAACAATTCTTGGCTATGCGAAAGGTCCATTTTAACTCCTCGCAATGACCAGGCATCTGAGATTAATAATAAAATACTGTCGAATGTCCAGGGGGAAAGCAAAGTTTATAGTTCAATAAATAGAATGGCCGATGAACAAGAAGCCGCTCCGAAATTTAAGACCACCACAAATTTGCAATGGAACTCGGCTTAAAGTAACCCAGTTGCAACAAAATGTAATCGAGGCTCAAATTTTAATAGGTGTAGTGTTTGTTTTTAAACAGAGCGTGACACTGACACACGTAGGACAGCTGTTTTGTCTATGATAGCGAACCGCTTACGTCAGCGTAGCTGTCAAACTTCATTGATTGGGTTGGTAGCCTTGAGGGAAGAGTCGATTTTCCTATTCGACTAAAATATTCGCCTTGAGACTTATAAAAAAAAAAAAAAAAAAAAAAAGTAATCAGGCGGTGAATCTCTGTGGGGGCGCGTGGATGAATGGATGGAGTTTGACAGTTGTTGAATTTTGAATAGTCTTTCCCAGATCGATTTGAGTCCTCCTTATCGGGTGCTGTTTTTAATCGATTTTGAATTTTACTCGAAATTGAATTTCCTCGCTGATTCGGGTAGGTATTCCCTTTTCCTCAGCTTACGGCGAGCGTAGGTATATAGTTTTGAGTTTATTCTTCGGTTCGTCTCGAATGCGGCGGCTGTCTGTTTGACTGTGGCCTTTGCCTTCAGTTGAAGTGGGAAACAAATCATAGACACATGTTTGGGAGTAGCCGATCCGTCTATCATCTATGAGCAATTGTCAAAACAACTTTTAAAATTTCACAATCTGTTTGTGGTACAGTTAACTTTTCATCTTTTCTTCTGCCCAAAGTATAATAAACGGCATATTATTGTCGTCGAAGTCGTGAGATAGATCCGAAAAGTTTATATCCCGAAGGATATTGGCGGAAAAAGCGCGGAGTCGCTAACCGAACTGAGTTTCGTAGGTATATTGGAGTGGCTCTTTTTCCTACATAATTTACAAGTTTGGGCTGTGAAAATAACCTTTCTGTTGATATTCTGTATCGTAGGTGGACGAACACGAACCTTCACAAGGCGATTGCAATAATAAGGCGGTAACTTGTGATAGGAAACAAAATACTTACGGATAGTTTCATAATTCGAACGGTAAGCTATCATCTGATCTCATATTTATTCTCCTAGCACTAATTGAACTGCATTATGCACAATATAGTGATTCTTGTCATCAAATATACCTAATCATTCTTGTCAAGTTAGTGAACGTGGAATTGATTTTCTTCAAACCGGGTGGGACGGGCCCCCAGTCCTGTATTGATTCCAATTTTAAAGTGTAAACATTGACCGTGAATATCCCTCACTCCCTCACCCACCACAGATGTGGTAATCTATGTATTTTCCCCATATCTGATCATTTTTTTTCAATGTGAACTTCAGGCTTGTACGTTCCCCTCAAGAAATACTGGAGGACTAACAAGGAGACTTTTGTTCTGTGCACGGACCAGAAGGGGCGCGGGAGTTTATTTGCCAGCCGCTCTCCGGTTTTATGTAGCCCGGCCGT